ACGAGCATGCGGCTCACCTGATGGTAAGTGACTATCGCCGCCCATGAACAACTGCAACACCAGGGGAATCGCAGATGCGTTGCCGGCCTTTTAAAAAGGAGTACGCTCTTTTCTTGAAGGTCCCTAAGTCGTATTGGTCCGGAAAAATCGCTGATGGTAATCGATTCCACAAGGAGGTCGTGCGAGGAAGAAAAAATCTTCTAAATCGCACAGTGGTGGACCGCCAATCATCCAGATGGTGTGGATGGTATCGGGAGTTCTGCCGCGATGTGCGTTCGTGAAATTTGGCGGCTGGGATTAATCCGAACAATTCCTCAGAGCACTCCCCAAGGTAGATGCGAAAGAAAATGCAAAGGGATGCAACATCTCTTCGCAGTGCCAATGAATCGAGCCGATCGGAAAGGGCTCGGTCGTCGACAATTCGAGCCGCTCTGCGTTGGATGCGGTCAAGTGGAAGGAGCTGGCACTGGGGAGCCCCTGCCCAGAGATGGGAACAGTATTCCATGTGAGGCCGAACTTGCGCCTTGTAAAGTAGCAGGCGGTGTGCCGGCATGAAATACTGTCCCGCCCTGCTGAGCACGCCAAGCTTTTTAGAGGCCAATTTGGCCTTCCCTTCCAAGTGACCACGAAACTGCACGTCACTCGATATGTCGACTCCGAGGATACCGATACTGGCTGAGGCAAGAAGGGGAGTGCCTTGAAACTGAGGAGATACGACAAAGGGGTTCTTTTTAGCGGTAAACGCGCAAACTTGTGTCTTCTGAGGATTAAATTGGACTAGATTTAGTCGCCCCCAATCCGAGACTTTGTCCAGCAAAGACTCGACTTCAGACACAAGTTTGTTCCGGTACTCGGTGACGTTTTCCCGAGAAATATTGGCACGGCCGGTGTAGAGAGCATCACCAGTGCTGTCATCCGCATAGCAATGAATGCTACCGGCTTGCAACATATCATTGATATGCAGAAGAAACAGCGTTGGTGATAGCACGCAGCCTTGTGGAACACCAGCGTTAATAGGCTTGTAGTCAGAGCATGCACCGTCTACAACGTCCTTGATGCTCCGATCTACAAGGAAGCTGGTGATCCAATTGCACAATTTCTCGGGAAGCCCATAGGAAGGGAGCTTCGAAAGAAGCGCTTTGTGCCAAACCCGATCGAAGGCCTTCGCAATGTCCAGACTAACGGCCAACGCCTCCCCCTTGGACTCTACTGCCTCCGCCCATCTATGGGTCAGGTAGACCAGAAGATCACCAGCTGATCGACCCCGACGAAAACCGTATTGGCGGTCACTAATCAGCTGGTGATCCTCAAGGTACCGGATGAGCTGGCAGTTAATAATGGATTCCATTATTTTGGAGAACAAGGAGGTGATCGCGATAGGCCTATAGTTGGATGGGTCTGAGCGGTCGCCTTTTTTAGGGATCGGGTGGACAAAAGCTGTCTTCCATGAATTCGGGACTACGCCTTGGGAGTAGGAGTACCGGAAAAGACGCGTTAGCACCGGTGCCAACTCCGGAGCACACGTCCTAAGCACAATTGGGGGGATTCCGTCAGGCCCACTCGACTTCTGGATGTCCAGGGAGAGCAGTGCTTTGTGAACCGAGCGCTGTGAGAACAGCACATCCGGCATGGAGCACTCACACCGCGGGATGGTCGGCGGTGTTTTCCCCCCGTCATCAAGAGTCGAGTTGGACGCAAAAAGGGAGCCTAAAAGGTCGGCTTTGTCTTTTGCGTCATGGGCCAGTGAGTCATCCTCCCTGTGCAGAGATGGTAGTGATGGCTTACAGAAATTCCCTTGGACAGCCTTGGCGAGAGACCAGAATGCACGGGTTCCTGAAGAAAGGCGAACTAGTTTCTCGCCAATTCTGCCTATGTGCTCTGACTTTGCCTTGGCAATAACTCTTTTGAAGGACCTGGAGGCGAAGTTATACTTCTTTTTAAGTGTGCTGGTATTTACATCCCGAGTCGCCGAAGCTGCAGCCCAGGCTTGATAACACTCCTGCTTACTGCGTAATGCAGTCTTACAGGAGCGACCAAACCAAGGCTGAGATCTGCCTCCGATGGGTACCACAGATGATGGAATAAATAGTTCCATTCCCTGTAGCACCACATCAGTGACAGAGTCAGCAACAGCGCTGGGATCATCTGGCGAGAAGCAAACCCGCCCCCATGGGTAGGATGCAAAGAAGGACCGCATTCCGTCCCAATCCGCCGACCTGTAATGCCAAACACGGCGGCAACCTGCAGAACGCAACCGCGAAGGGAGCGTGAGTGGCACCACACTCCGGATCAGACAATGGTCCGAAGAGCCGAGAGGGGCATCGACGGAAACCTGATATCCGTCCGGATGAGAGGTCAGCAGAAGGTCCAACAGGGAAGGTGTATGATCCTCCACATCTGGAATCCGCGTAGGCGAAGTAACCAGTTGTGTCAGACCATATGCCAAGGCAAAGTCATAAACAGATCTCCCCGCATGATCGGTTAGACGTGAACCGAGCCATTCGGCATGGTGGGCGTTAAAATCGCCAAGGATCACGATCTCTGCGGATGGGACCTGTTGTAGCAAGAAATCTGTAGCCATTTGGACGTGGTCGATGAGTCGGTCTGTTTCGGCATTACCGCTATGGGACCTATAGAGGCACCCGTAGACGCGCGGATGGTCGTCGCTGTCTACGCGTAGCCAAAGGATGGACAGGTCCGAACCTTCAAGACTGCCGAGGCGTCGAGAACAGATGTCCTCTCTGACATACACGCAAACTCCAGCCCGAGGCACAAAGGAATGCTCCAATTTGTACCCCGGGTAGGAGAGATACGAAATATCAGCCGGAGAGGAAACCTGCGTCTCGGTCAGAAAGAGCAAGGCCGGCTTCGCCGTCTCGAGATGGTAGTGGACGGCGTTTAGGTTAGAGTGAAGTCCCCTGATGTTGCAGAAATTCACGGATAGCGTGGCAGGGGTCGCCTTGGTGTTCTTGCTCAGTTTGCCTCTATCAGTAATGCTTTTGAGCGGAATTTTGCCCCCCCCCCCCCAGAATACGCGGGGCAGCCTGAGCACCCACGCTCAGGATCGGAATAACATGGTCGTGGATGCTCAGCGAGGGATTCTCCAGGGGTGCTGGTACCCTTCTGGGGTAGTTCTTCGTGTAATTCCGCTACCATGTTAATGGGGGGGGGGGGGATTGGGCCTCCGGCCACCTGCACTCACCAGACGAAACGCAGAAGCAAAGCTTCTACTTCACGCCGGTATTCTGTGAGATCGTGGTACCAACCCGGCTCGAGCCGGCCCATACATGCAACAGCAAAAACTGCTGCGTGGCTCTACCACCGTTAAAAAAAATTTCTAATTAAAACCCTAATATATTGTCCAACTATTTAGTAATTTTGACGTGAGAGAGCAATTGCATACATGACTCCATACATATCTAACTATCGATGATCTTCCGATATTGTATCCGAAACTTAGAATTTCGTACATTTCCTAAGCAATAAGACGTCAAATAATACTGATCTGATTATCGCCTATCATACTTTCTATCTATCGGCTACTTAGGAAAAAATTATCTTTAACAATACTATGTCCGGTACTCTGGTCCTTCTGCGGATATTCCCATTTTAAGCCCATCTAGTAGAGAAATCCCGACCATAGCCCTCTCCATAGCTAGCTTAGCAACTTTGAGCTTCCTTATTCGGCCAGCAATGTAAGACCACGTCTCAGATTTATAATTCATCACTCGCAGCACGCACTGGTTATATAAAAATTCGAAGATCACATTTACTTAAGTTTTTAATTTAAAACAATTTAAATAATACACCTTTCGTATTAAATTTATTGCTGTTTAGAAAAAAAAGTTATAGCAATTTCTACATGAAACAAATTTATATTTTTTTTTGAAAAACCTTCGCTATCTACATATTATTTAATATACCAGATTATGAAAACATAAATTATTTTATTGTCTTCAAATAATCAAAATAAGGTGTCATAAAATACCCAATATTAATTTGAAGAAATAGCCTTTAGTCGTGGTACAAACCTCCAGGTAGCAGTAATTTTATAATATATACTATGAATAATTTTTGTGTAGACCGAAATCGAATTTTAAATTATCTGAATCCGTATGTTGCGGTCGGTATCGGCAGTCGGATGTATAAATATAAGAAATGTTTTATTGTAAATGCGTTATTTTTTTTTTGATTTTGTTATTTATTATTTAGTTTATTTATTATTATTGATTTTGTTATTTATTAAACATATATGGGCAACAACCGGCCCGCGGGCCGGATCCGGCCCGCTTTAACATATGATCCGGCCCGCGAGACATTTTGAAAAAACCCATTTAAAAATATTATATTAGGTACTTATACTCACAGGAGTGACAGTGAGGCGGCAAACATCAAATCCGTTGATGTTTGCCGCCTCACACTTTGTTAATCGCCGCCACTCGGCTTGCTCGATCTAATTCTTTTAGGTTTGCCGCCTCACGAGCGACACATCAACAGATTTATTGCTTCTCAATTATTCTAACTTAGTTTATTCCAGATTATTCCTTCATTTTGCCTATATAAGCGGGTGGATGGCTCTAACGTTAGTTCAGTTCTATTTGAGCTACCGAGGTGATAACTTGGACAAACGATATCCTAGCGAACTGCTCGAGCCGTCAACTTGCTTTGTGACTTTGTGTGCATCTTAAGTGGTTACTAACTATAGTTTGTTATTAAGTTTATTGAACGAAAAGTAAACAAAAATGATGTCTGGTGGAAAGAAACGAAAAGTAGATACAGATTGTCGCCAGTTTCAAGACAAATGGACTGAAGAATTCTTTTTTATCTTGCACAATGGTAAGCATATTTGTTTGCTGTGTAATGAATCCATTTCATTAATGAAAGAATTCAATATAAAGAGGCATTATTCAACTAAGCATGCTACGCTGCACTCACTGACAGGACAATTAAGAAAAGAAAAAATCCAGTAGTTTACCGCAAATTTGAAAAACCAGCAACAAATGTTTCATAAACAAAGAACACAACGTGATAATGTTGTGAATGCTAGTTTTATACTTCGCTCAAAATTGGCAAAGGCATTAAAAACATTTGCCGAAGGAGAATTTATCAAGGAATGTATATTAGAAGTTTGCGGTATTTTGAGTCCTGAAAAGAAAAATGAATTTAAAAAAATTAGTTTGTCAAGACGAACTGTTGTTCGACGTATAGAAATGATAGCTAATGATATAAAAATAACATTGACTGGCCGTATGGCTGGTTTTGAATCATTTTCCATAGCATTAGACGAGAGCACCGATTTGTCTTACACAGCTCAACTGGCTATATTTATTCTAGGTCTTGATAAGGAGTTTCACTATTACTGAGGAATTGCTTGTTTTACAGCCGCTAAAAGAAACCACTACAGGAGAGGATATTTTTATTGAAGTTCAAAAGGTATTCACAAGTTTTGGCTTGCCGTGGTCAAAATTAATTGGAGTATGCACTGATGGTGCACCTTCTATGGTCGGCTTACGTAAAGGTTGCATCGGAGTTTTGAATGAAAAAGCAAAAGAATTAAATGTATAAAAAGATGATTTCATAGTCCTTTATTGCATTGTCCAACAACAGAACTTGTGTTCTAAGTCCATTCGACTCCAGAATGTTATGAATGTGGTAGTAAAAACCATCAACTTTATTCGATCCCGAGGGCTTAACCATCGTCAGTTCAAGGCGTTTTTGGATGAAATATCAGCTGAATATAACGACGTAACATATTATTGTGAAGTCAGATGGCTAAGTAAAAGAAAAATGTTGAAACGGTTATACGAGCTTAGAAATGAGATAGCAGACTTTATGAAAATAAAAGATAAAATACTATCTGAATTAAGTGGATATGTGACTTGTTATTTCTGGTCGATCTTACAAGCTACATATATTTGAATGATTTAAATTTGAAACTTCAAAAACAAGGACAGTTAGTAAATGATTTTTACAGCCATTTGAAAGCATTTCAGATCAAACTACGCTTGTGAAAATCACAGATGCTGTCTGGTAACAGTTACCATTTCAACACGCTCTCTGCGTATGAAAATATTGCTTATGCTCAATATGCTGAAAAACTCAAATTATTGTCGGAACAATTTTCGAACAGATTTAGCGACTTCAAAAACATGGGAGACTGTTTCAGTTTATTTGCTACTCCTACAAAATATAATGTACAAAATGCTTCAATACACTTACAAATGGAGTTGATCGAGATATACATCAATTTTTATCAAACTTTTAAATATTTAATTTCTAGAACTACTTAGGAAGAATGATGTTAATTATTTAACAGCCATATATTACGAGTAACAGGACACATTCACAAATGTTAGTGTATAATATTGACATAAATAAATTGAACCTAAACAAATTTGTTTAAAAATAATTTTCGTTTTTAAAAAATATAACAGAATTGAATTGTTGGGTGCAAAGCGTCGATTAATCTTTCTTCCGGTAATTTTCTATTGGACCGCTGCGCTGCTCGGATGTCATACAACCTGATCCCGTAGCCCATTTCACTCGCTACGTTTATGTCATTATCTCAACGATCCATTGCAATTACTCGTGCACGGAGAGAAAAATGCAAGGTGGAGAATAGCAATGATGAAAGACTTTTTCAAACTTATCTTTATGACACTGCTTAAAGTTAATGTATGTATGTACTTAAATATTTCTTACTGCATAATTAATGACGTATAATATATAAATATGACAATTTAATTTTGTAAGCGTACATGTTGAAAATAAAAAATACGCACCTTTTACTATGTAGCCGGTGGAAGGAAAAGGGGAAATCTCCTGCCGGGCAAGGTGTTCTGCCCGGGGAGCGGCCAGCGCTCCGAGTGGTAGTTCAGAGCTATTCTATATATGCTGCTTTAACTTCGGAACTTTGTTAGTGCGATTTAGGCTTCGATGTGTTTCGCTTGTGGCGCGACGACAGCGCCGCCACATCACCCCCCTGCTCAGACCGAAGGTCGATAGTGCAGTCCGATTGTCGGTGCGTCCTTAATGCCGGTGGAGAATGCATTCTGTGTGCGTAAGGGCAAGTGACGCCGGTGCGAACGATATGCCGGTGTATAATGCATGCCGTACTACGCACTTGCAAGTGATGCCGGTGAGAACGATGAGCCGGAGCAAGTTCAGGTATTGCCTTGTAGTCTGCGGTGAGTCGAGAAGAAGGCAAGTAATCTGCGAAAGTGCAGTGAATAAGAGGCGAGCAGTAAAGCTCAGAGCCGTGCCGAACACTGTAGCGCAGAGAGTAAGTAGCTGAAGGAACAGGAAGCATTATTATTCCAGTGCTGCGATGAACCTTTGTGAAGCTAGATGGCTTGCAGAATGTGAATACTGCAGACAATATCTGCTCGGGAGGGAATGAATGGGGTACTTTGAGGATGATGACGAAGGTTTGAAGTTGTATTTTCTGAAGGTTATTGGTTGCGTGTTCAGATCACGTCGGGATCACCACTTTGGCGGGTGGAAGGAAAAGGGGAGATCTCCCGCCGGGCAAGGTGTTCTGCCCGGGGAGCGGCCAGCGCTCCGAGTGGTAGTTCGGAGTTATTCTATATATGCTGCTTTAACTTCGGAACTTTGTTAGTGCGATTTAGGCTTCGATGTGTTTCGCTTGTGGCGCGACGACAGCGCCGCCACAACTATGACGACAATTTTTTGAAATAAATTTTAAGTGACATACGAATTTACAGTTCACTTGGTGGTAAATTGAGAAAGAAGTGATAGATTGCTAGCCCATCGCCTACACGATCGCAAACCCTATATCCTATTAGTCGCCTCTTACGACTAGCTAGGCAAGTAAAACTGTTGGCACATTCCTTTTTGTTATTAGCTCCACATAAAAATGGGACCTATAAGTATAAGTGTAGTATTAATTGGATTGGGAAATTATCAGATTTGCATTGATTAATTTTTATTATATTATTTATTTACTTTTACAAAATAATGTTGAATTTCTCGAGTGCCTTCAAAGTTAGATGAAAAGACAGACTGTGGCTTATTATTCCTCTCCTTTGCTGTAAAGACGACAAAGCATTCCATTTCATTGCATTTTATTCAAATGCGTGATTGTGGACAAGTGTGTTATTACAACTGTGTTTGTGGATAAGTGTGTTATTACGCGCGTAATGCACCCCTCTCGCGTCTACCAAGGGTTTACAATGAATTATTTGCAGAAATTTATATCCTATTTATATTGTTAACGAGGACAACTATTACAAGGTCAGTGCGACGCATGTTTGTTCTGTGCAAGTTTGAATATTTTAATGTAAATACGTGGTGAAAGGGACGAAGAGAGAACGAAGTGTGAAATATGGGTAAATCAGGAATGTCTAGAACAGGTAAATGAAATTGTATACTTGGGGAGTGCTTTTAGCCGGGATGGAAGATGTGATTTAGATGTGGACAGGCGTGTCGCTGCCGGGAACAAAGTCAATGGTGCCCTGACTGTGTTAGTCAAAAGGCAAGGCGTAGCGAAGAGTGCACGCCTTGCAATACATAACGCAGTGTTGGTACCGACTTTGTTATATGGCAGCGAAACCTGGGTATGCCAGAAGAAGCATAAAAGTAAGTTGAATGCAGTGGAGATGCGATCTCTTCGTAAAATGTGCGGCGTTACCATGGCCGACCGAAAGCGAAACGAAGAGATTCGCAATATGGCAGGTTTGAAAGATGACCTTATCACAAAAATTGATAAGGGCGTGCTTCGGTGGTTTGGGCACGTTGAGCGAATGAGTGAAGACCGAATGGTGAAGAAAATATATAGCGCGAAAGTTAATATTAAAAGGTGTCGAGGTAGACCGAGACTAACTTTCGAAGACCATGTGAGCAAATTGCTCGAAGAGGGTAGGGTCAAAAGTACTCGGATACCTAGACGTGCATGCATGAAGAAGATAATGAATCTGAAAGAAGCGAAAGAGGTTTGTAAGGATCGTGACACTTGGCGATCTGTTCTCTCTGGCTACCCCGTCAGGGATTGTGCGTGAAGATAAGTAAGTAAGTAAGTAAATACGTGGTATTTATTAATAATGGTTGTTTCTTCTAGTGTACACACACATGAATAATACTAGAAAAAATATAAATATATCATACTTTAACTATCCCAAGGAGTACAATAGGCATGGAATCATCATCATTACAGCCTTTCATTAGTCCACTGCTGAACATAGGCCTCCCCCAAGGAATGCCACCAAGCACGGTCCTGAGCCACCTGCATCCATCGACTTCCTGCATGTCTTACCAGGTCGTCACTCCATCTCGTGGGGGTCGCCCTACACTTCGCCTACCGGTACGAAGCTGCCACTCAAGAACCTTTCTTCCCCATCGGTTGTCGGTTCTTCGAGCTATATGGCCGGCCCACTGCCACTTCAGCTTACTAATCCGTTGGGCTATGTCAGTTACTCTGGTTCTACTGCAGATATACTCATTTCTAAGTTTATCACGCAGAGAAACCTCGAGCATAGCTCGCTTAGCGCTTCCTCATACGGCCAGCAGTGAAGGACCACGTCTCAGATCCGTAAGTCATCACTAGCAACACGCACTGGTTGTGAACCGTCGGGGCTCGACCAGGTCCACTTCCTGTGGGGCCGCTTCTGGAAGAAAGAGTTCATCATAAAGAGTCTCTCTTCCTCCATGAAGTCGGCCAGCTGCTGGCCTCTTGGGTTCCGTTGCCCTATTCCAAATTTCCCTACTTTCAGCTCACCGTTCTCTCTTGTGCCTAGTTTTGCATTGAAGTCTCCCATTAACACCGTATATTGGGTTTTGGAGGAATGCATGTCTCTAGCGATATCCTCATACATTTCCTCCACCTCCTCATCGGGGTGTGCCGAGGTTAGTGCGTAAAACTGTATGACCTTCAGCGAATACCGTTTGTTGATTCTGAGTATAAGGTACGCAATACACAATCTCAATCTTTACAACGTTGGTAACGAGAGACTTGTGGACGATAAATCCGACACCTTCTTGGGACAGATGGTAGCCCTCCCGGTGATAGAGCAAATCCCCTCCCCCTCTCTTCGGACTTCAGATAATCCTATAATATGCCAGCGTAACTTGTCTATCTCTTCTTCCAGCTCCACGATCTTCTCGTCAGTTCTCAGGATGCGTGCGTTGTATGTTGCCAGATCGAGTCGTCTTAGGTGGCAACCGAACCTCCACCGGAGGCCGTTACTATGGTAGCCACCGTAGCCAGGAATAGCGGGGCCGCCGGGAACTGGGGGCCGTTTCTTTGTTACTCTCATTATATAGGCATGGAATAATGCATAGATTTAGAGATATCCTCATACATTTTCTCCACGTCCTCATTGGGATGTGCCGAGGTTGGTGCGTAAAC